GTTTTCTCCTTTGTCTTTCTCTCTCTCTCTCCCCCTTTCGAAATGTCATCCCTGAATATATAACAAAGGCTTAATTGTGGAATTGTTGAAGCTTTTGGTGAAAATGGGTGCGTATGAAGTGCTCTTTAGAACACGGCACTGGCTGGCTGTCGGCCCAGCTAACAGGAAAATAATGAAGCTGTTAGCATATGACAGCAGATTAATTCACTCAAAAGACAATTCCTCGTTTGCCAGTCGTTTTCAGAGCGGAGGGGTGAAGTGGATTTTTGGAGGAACGAGAAACAAATGTTGGAATCTTAATTACCTGACCTCAATTTCAAATTTGTTGGAGATAAAAAGAGACCAGAGTTATTCAATAGTGTGTGACGACAATTAAGAACCTCAACCTGGAAAAGAGGTTGGGATCAACTTGTGGACAGTTGTTACCAGACACTTCTATCAATTCATTTGTGTTATCACTAACACACTCGTCTAGTTAACATTGAGTAAAGACTATGTCAGGCGTTTTCCGACTTGTTGACTTCAATGATTCGGGACCTCAATTCTTTGTGATAGACCTTCTAATCCTGCTCATTTGATAGATACTATATTGGGAAGGCTAAGATAGACAATGGTTTGCTACAGTTTATGCTGTGGGAGTGCAATTAAAAACACTATTTTAACAACCTGGCTGACTTAACTATATATCAGGGAAGATTGTGAGATTGTAGTTGCATGAATAAAATTAAAGGTTATCCCTTAATAAGATGTTTTGGTGTATCAGAGAAAAAAAGCATAATTGGAATAAATAAAAATATAATAAAACATCTCCACTTCTACATAAGTCTTAAACCAGTCACATTTTTGTACCGATAGAGATTTACTAGTATTTTATACTAGGAGGCTTTTCTGAATTGGCTTAGGTCTGTGTGGCAAAACTATGGCAAGCATACCCATAGTGGCATGTGAAGCCATGTCAACCGGCATGTGCAGCCTTGTCTGTTTGTCTTCTGGGTTTCTGGCGCGCATGCGTGTGTGATGATCAGTTGTCCTTTGAACGCACAGCAGTACCAAAAACTGGTGCGCACATGCACACCAGCCAGCTGATTGCCGGGTGCGCATGCGCTCCAGAACCTGGAAGTTGGGCTTTTCCGGAATGCGGTCCCTTCACACGTTGGTAGTGCCAAAAACTGGCCTGCGCATGCACACCAGTCAGCTGATTGCCGGGCACACATGCACACTAGAACCCGGAAGTTCGGCTTTTCCGGAGTGTGGCTGTGACGAGCGTGCGCACGTACGACATTTCCGTGTGACCTTTTCGGCGCTTGAAGCCATCACTGGCTTAGGTGATCTCCAGACATACGGACTTCAACTCCCAGAATTCCCAACAATTCTTTCAAAATGGAGTTCTAATGGGGTGACCGCCTTTGGGTTGCTTGGCAACAGAGTCACATTTATGGCCCTTTGCAGTATCCTGCAGTCATCTGATTGCATCCGTTTGCAGCAAAAAGCATTTCTGTTTTTTGGGGAAAACTTCACCATAGTGAATAATGGGTTCATTTAATGACTGCTGCAAAATAAAAATATCCATAAAATTGGATAGGTCACATGACTAACTGGTTTTATGACCATTGCAACATTCGACCACGTGTTCCCCTAATGTCAGGCGCAAAGAATCAGGACCATCTGTCGTATTGCAGCTTAGGAGATGTATTCAAGCGCATACACAAGAATCAATTCTATCTCAAGTTCAGCCTTAAATTGGTACCAGATAAGAGTCAATGGAATTCAGGAGCAGTTAAACTTGGTCTGCTGGTGAAAATGTAAGGACTCTAAGCTAATGACACATTTCATTCCACCCTCAGCTCTGCCTCGGCACTTCTTCTATACCTACGTTCTCATTTGTTTTCTTCCTTTCAGTGAAATACATGCGAGAAGCCACCCCTTATGTGAAGAAAGGTTCTCCTATTTCGGAAATTGGATGGGAAACTCCTCCCCCCGAGTCCCCCCGTTTGGGCAACCCAACCATCGATCCCCTGTTGCCGCTGTCTCTCAATATCTACCGAGACAAAAGGACCATCCCACTCAAAATGTGCTACGTGACGCGGAACATGGCTATGTTAGATCCAGAAAACAGGTAAGGAAACCTGGGTGGGGGAGAAGAACACCCCCTTCCCATAATATTCATTCTTCGTTATTATTGTGGATCAAGAGCAGTTTCAGTCCATAAGAGAAGTAGACAGCGGCTGTCTTTTCTTTCCCTTCTTTTTCTCTCTTTGCACATTTCCCATATTCAGCGGAGAAGAATAAAAGGAGTGCATCTTACTTTGTTGATGTCCAGAAAGGAGGACAATTTCCTGAATTAGAAG